TGGCCTGCTCTCCCTCAACTGCCCTCCCCTCCCGGCCTGAACACCCACAACTGCTGCAACCCACCTTCTCTGCCAGGACCGGCCTCCTCCACGTGCTGTGCAGACTCCCAGGCCTCACTATGCGGAACAGATGCCAGGCCCCACCTCCGCTGTGCACATGGCCACCTTGTGGCAGCCATCTTTGTGGCGGCCATCTTGTGGCGGTCATCTTTGATCCTCCATCCCCTGCCGGCCATCTTGTTGTGGCCATCTTGTGTTCTGGCATGATGATCAATTACCTTTTTTGTCTTTTATTAGATAGGAAATATATATATATATGTACATATATATATATATATATATATGTACATATATATATGTTAACACATGCATAACTGGAACAATGATCCAAAGTAATTTCTTACTTTGGATCATTGTTCCAGTTATGCAGCTGTATGTACTCTACAAAGTTCCCTATGTAGAGTACATATATCATTACTTCTATGCCAGGCACTAGAAGTAATGATACCCCAGTAGCAATGAGCATTCCTATTGCCTAATCTAGATCTTGGTGTTTAAATAACACTCTAAAAAACAAATAAACAAACAAAAAACCAGGGATCCTTGGAGAAGTGGTTGATTCCAGGGCTGGGGCAAGATAAGCCTAGAGCATCTTATGGTGCCAGAAATTCTCCAAAAAAAGAAAGAAAGAAAGAAAAAGGATAGAGGTTTGTCAAAGGGGCACAAGAGGCAACTGAAAAAACTCCCAAAGGCCAAAGCTGGAACAATATGAGCCTAAAATAAATGACAACAGTGTAGAATAAACAATAGAAAAATGAATGAATCCATACTGATACTAATAAATAACTGAATATCACATAAATAAATGGGAAGGGCAGCTTTTCCTTAAGAAGAACTTAAATTAATAAATGAAGAAGTGAGGGAAACAGAAAGCCACCATCATACCATTACTATAATAATTACTGAAGGCAAGATCCATTGATGGATGCTAAAATTAGAAAGTGAAAGTTTGAGGAGAAACAGGATGTTTGCATAGTTTACAAGTTCTCTCCCAGGATATGAATTGTTTACAAAGTTCCCTATGTAAAGTACATAGTAGCTTTCCATTAGAGAATCCCAGGAGACACAACCTTAACTAAACGATCAAAAGTAATATAAAATGCAGTGTGTTATATCATAAATGATGAACTGAGAAGGGCACATATGCTTCTGGGGTATCAACAAAAATGCACAACCTTAATCATGAGAAAATTTCAGGCAAAACCCAACTGCCAACATAACTGACCGGCATTCTCCTACAGCATAAAGATCATGAAAGACAGAAACAGACTGAGCTGTCACAGAGTCAAGGAGACTAAGGAGCCATGCCAACTAATGGCAATGTGGGGCCTTACACTGGTTCCTGGTACAAAGGTCATGTGTATAAAAAATGATGGAAATTTGCCGAACCGGTTTGGCTCAGTGGATAGAGCATCGGCCTGCGGACTCAGGGGTCCCAGGTTCGATCCCAGTCAAGGGCACATCCCCACTGGGGGGCATGCAGGAGGCAGCTGATCCATCTCTCTCACCGATGTTTCTGGCTCTCTGTCCCTCTCCCTTCTTCTCTGTAAAAAATCAATAAAATACATATTTTTTAAAAATGATGGAAATTTGAAGAAAATTGGTATAGAATTGGGCCTGTTAATTTCTTACTTTTGATCATTGTTCCAGTTATGCAGGTGTTAACATTAAAGTAAGCTGTAGAGGACTCTGTATTATTTTTGTAGCTTTTCTATATTTGTAAAACTATGTCAAAATAAAGTATTTTTTTTCTAAAAAAAAGGCTTTATACACACACACACACACACAGTGGCCAGATTATTATGACCGCCCCATCAATACTTCATTGACACTCCCCAAAATACTGAATATTGAAAACTTCCTAAGCAAATACTCTCACGGTTTTATTATTATTATTATTATTATTATTATTTGCATAACTAATTCACTTCATTGTACTGATGGGGAGGTCATAATAATCTGGCCACTCAGTGTGTGTGAGTGTGTGTGTGATAGTATATATTTTTAAGTAAACTGATGTTCTACATAAACAGGGCAAACATTTAGAAGCCAAAGAACTGCAACCTTTTACGGCACAAACACTCGGGGGAAGGGGTCTCCAGCTACAAACTTTATCTTTCACACTTAACTCCATCAGCTCACGCTTCCCACGAGGAAAGAGCGCCGGGAGTTAACTAAATCACTTAAAAGATTATTTGTATCTAAAAGCCCATTTCTCAGGGGGAAAAAAAAATACAAAATCTCTGCAACACCGCCCCACCCACTCAAGAGTGACCAACACCTTCCAGCAGCCTGGATACCCCCCCCCCCATTGGTGGCCCCGAGTTTCTGACTGCGGGACGGGGTACCGACTCTGGGAAGTCGGGGCCGTGGGTCCTACCATATGGTCTCCTCTCGGAGCCTCGGGTTCCGAAGGTGCAAAAGGGGCGAGTCGGACGGGGAACCTTCAGGGCAACACCTCCCGGTCGGGCTGCCAGGAGGCTCCGACCCCGCGCACCTGGCCCTCCCCTCAGCACCG